ACAGAAGGTGACCAAAGAGCAGCCTTCCCACAACCTCAGCACTTTTAACTGATTTGTTTGTGGAAGTGAAAGCTCGGCCTTGAGCGCTAAAGCCTAGTAAAATTGTTCAAGATCTCAGGATCTATTTGAGAGACCCAAGGCCACACTTGGAAGGAGCAGGTATTCAGCAGAGATCATTCCCTTCTAGCCACATCCCACAGTCCCAAGAGAGTCATCAGAAGGGCCACCTAGGTAATAATCGAATCTGCAAACTTAAGTCTCCCTGTCTCCCCCGGTGAGGACCGGCCAGACAGCCCCTGCCCTTGGAGAGGGTGCCGTGGTCAGCCTTTTCTCTCCTCTCTCACTGCCCACAGCAGACTTCCGAGGTAAGAGCATGAACATAGGAAGGGAAAGGGGTTTGGAAAGCTCTGCCCTGATGGTCTCGCAAGATGCCTTTCCTATCCGGATCTGAAAGAGGTTTCATGTTCAAATGGGCACCTTGTAAGAAACCCTTCCATCCTTCACCCTTGATCCCCACTCGAGAGCCAGAGTGCCCTTGACCTGAGCAAATGAATCAGAAGCCACTTGCTCCCTCCTTGGCCCCTAGAATGTTCGCCTCCTACTTCCTTCCACTGTGCTGCATCGGCCCTCTGGGTAGGCCCTGTGGTCACGGCTGAGATGATCACACACCGGCTCTTTCATTCACACGGCCAACATCTGGTTGTGGGAAATATACACACATTCCGCATCCTGACAAGTCCCCAGGCACAGGTCGGCGACAATTCCCCATCATACTCTAAGCCACACTTGCACTACCAGTGGCGTGCTATGTCCCCAAGATCCACAAACCTTTGGCTGGCGTCCTAGGGAGCCCAGCTGCTTTCCAATGCAGCAGCTGCTTGCTCTCTTCATCAGAACCAAGAAGCCACAATTGCCTGTGGCACCCCCACCGCCAGTCAGTCTGCCTCTCAAACTCCAGGGGACAGAAAGCAAGCTCTCAGAGCAGTATTGTTGAAGCCCACGCTCTCTGAGCCCGAGGGCAGGCTGTCCTCTGCTCCACCTGCACCCTCGCCCCCTGAGCCCCACCCCAGCCCCGGCCAAACTTGGGAAGTGGGAGTCCACATCACAGCCCCAGCCCTCAGGAAAGGAATCCAGCAAATTCCCTGCCTCATTCACTCTCTCAACCCTTCCTTTCACTGGGGGCCAGTTGCCCAGCGGGTTCTCAGCCACCTTTGGAAATCTACGTTTTAGTCTGTTGCCACTCTTTGGAGTTTGATAGCTAATTTCTTCATGTCTCAACCAACACATCAATTTAGCATATTAAAGTCTTTCCATGGCCAGGCACGGTGGCTCACACCTGTATCTCAGCACTTTGGGAAGCCGAGGCAGGCACATCACCTGAGCTCAGGAGTTCGAGACCAGCCTAGCCAACATAGTGAAACCCTGTCTCTACTAAAAATGCAAAAATTAGCCTGGCACGGTGGCAGGCACCTGTAATCCCAGCTACTCTGGAGGGTGAGACAAGAGAATGGCTAGAACCTGGGAGGCAGAGGTTGCAGTGAGTCGAGATCATGCCATTGCACTCAAGCCTGGGGGACAAAAGTGAGACTTTTGCCTAAAAAAAAATAAAAAATGCTTTCTGCCTGCATGCCTGGGGGCTGAGCACATTGCTATTCCTGAAAATAAAATTAAAAAAAAAAAAGAAAATGTGGGTCAGCTGTTAACACCAGAGACGCTGGCCGAGGGACAGGAGTGAGCCACGGAGTCTGAGAAGTAAATTAACTGTTGTTTGCCACCAATAGCCCTGGCTGATAAGACCCCAGCCCTAAGGCGGGGGACAGCAATAAACTTTAGGACAGGAAGGACAATCCTTGCCTCAGTTCCTGACTTCTGCTTCTTGCCAAGGGGCAGCCTTGGTGGTCAAGACCCTGGAGCTGGAACGGCTGATGCCAACTGTGGCCCAGCTCCTTCCTGGCATGGTGGCCTTGGCCAGTTCACTCCCCTCCGCCGCCCTTGCTCTCCACCCCTCCAGAGACTGGGGCTGAGTGCCGCAGGATGCAAGGGCTTCTTGCACTTCAGTCCTGTGTGCCTGTGCTGGCTCCATCCTCTCTGGCTCTTCCACCTGGGGCTCTCCATGGCCCCGGACCTAGCTCCTCCTGCTCAACAACTCCTGCCAGAAAGGGGGTGTCTCTTCCCCAGCAGATCCCACAGAATTCCAGTATTGATCCTGATTTGCCTGTGGGAAGGAAGGTGGGGTCACGGGCCCTGAACCTATCACTGTGGCCAGAAATGAACTAGGCTGAGCAGCCACGTCAGGGTCATGGACAAAGCCCTAGAACAGGGGCAAGGAGAGGAGTGCCAGGTACTGCGTGGACAGGGAAGGGGAAGAAAGTTGTTTCCTCCAGAGGAAAGGCAGGGTCCTGGTGCCCGTTTAGAGTAGGCAGGGGAGCAGGAAGGCAGAAGGCAGAAACCACTCTCAGAAGCAGGAGCAAGCCACAGGCCCGGGTCCACCCTGCCACTCAGAGTGATTGTCTGCAGGAGGGGACACATTTGGAACTAGCATGTTTCAGTGGGGGCCAACAGAGGTTCTGATCCAACAAGGAAAGATATTCCCTCCACCTCCCCAAAAGAAGGGGCTGGAGGAAATTAAGCCTGAGGCTGCCCTAACAGAAACAAAGAGAAGACAGGATGCTGGCGTGGGAGCCCTCCTCCTCACAAAGAAGGAGCTGGGCTGACCTGGTGGAATTTGCATGAATGTGAGAAACACAGTCTTCCACATGCTTGTCAGTGTGGCCTTTATCCTGCTATGGCCCCGGTGTTCCTCAGTGATGAGAGATGGCACTTCCTCAGACAGGGATGATTCTTAAGGTTAATTGAAAGTGGCCTTTCTCATGAATCATCCGCTGCACTGAATTATTAATCACCTATAGGCATTTGCAAGTCTTTAAACTCTTGGACTTCCTGCAGCCCTCCTTGGAAGTGTTTTTGCCATGGAAATATAACTTCCGATTGGCCGTAAAAGAGAGAACCCATGTCGGCTGCTGTTTCCAGGTTTCCCAGCTCCAGAGACACAGTGAAGAACAAAGCCTGAAAACAGGAAGCAGAGCCAGAGCTGTGGCCAGATCCTGAATGCCTTTCTGTTCTGGGGAGCTGGTTCCAGGCCAGCCGGGTCTCAGAGCCCCTGGGACGGTGGATGGAGAGGAGGCTGACCACAGTGCCTATGGCTCTTTGCCTGGTTCATCATCATCACAACAGGAGAGGGTCTCCTGGGGCCTTGCCCTATAGCTGGTCACCAGTGAGGAAGGAATAAGGGAGCCAGGTGCCAGGCCTAGCTCCATCACTTAAAGGTGGGCCACGAAGCCTCTTTGATTCAGTTTCCTCATCTGAGGAGGTGGTCGTGACCCTGCAGGGTAGACATAAGGCAGGGTTCAATGGGATCATTTACATCAAGCCTGTATCGTGATTCTCAAAATATGAGGAGCAGCAAGAAAGGTGAGCTCCCTCCTGCCACCTGCTGTCACCTTCCAGTGGAGGAAGAAAGACTCGAAACTCAGTGGGCTGGCTGGCTGTGTAAGGATTTTGCAGATAGAGCTGGCAACGTGATTTTGCAGACCCCAGCAGCTGGTCTGCAGGACCAGGACAGGGAGCTCCTGATGGGCAATTGTGAGCTCAAGATGGGTATGATGCATGGACAATGTGAGCAGAAGATGGGACAGCTCATCCAGATGGCACAAGCCCTTCATCTGCCATGCAGCATAGCCTCGGTCCTGGAGGTGGATACTGGGGATTCCAAGCTGAATAAGACATGGTTCCCTGCCTTCATGGAAGCCTTGGGCTGCCAGGAAGAGTGGGATGGGGCAGCAGTCACAGGCACAGAGTCCCATATTCAGCACGGTAGCTGCAAGGACCATGAGGACAAGGAGAGGGTGATGAAGGGTTTCACAGAAGGCAAGATGCTGGGGGTTCATCTTCAAACATGAGCAGTGGAGAAGGAGGGTGGGAGGGGCACTGAGTATTTCAGGTAGGGAAAGAGCAGTGTGGTAGGAGGGACCAGTGCATCAGCAGAGCTGTGGAAGTAGCTGCACAAATCTGGGCATGAGCACTGCAGAGAGGTAGGGGGGATGAGGATGGGAGGGGATCCTGGAAGACACCAGCCGGGGAGGGGAGGTGGTACAGCATAGAATCTGAAGAGCTGTGAGGAGGCCCACGCAGAGCTCCAGATGAGAGGTGATGGAGGGCTGGGCGAGGTTTTTGCCATCATAAAGATGGACAGAGGAGAAAGAGCTGGCAGGACTTGGCGACACAGAGGCAGATGGGGACTTTGGAAAAGCACAGCATGGAGGTTGAGAGATGGCAGCTCTGGGCCTGGCACTCAGGAACTACCAGAAGGGATTCCCTTTTCAAAAAATACCCACTACCCACCCCACCCCCAGAACAGCCTGAGTGCAGCTCGAGCCCAATCATGGAAGCGTCTCGTGTGGGTGGGACCACATGCACCATTAGGCCCGTCCGGAGGAGAGCAGGGAGGCTGGGGGAAGGGGTCAGGATAGCTGAGGGGTTCCATGTAGGGGTCCCCCTGAGCCTTGCTAGCTGCCTGAGTTCAGTGTTGGGGCACACGGAGCTCTAGACTGAGGAAGGGGAAATGTAAGCCACCTGTCCCAGGGCACTGCATGAACAACACGGTCCTCACAATGATCCCAGAGAGGTCACGTCCTCATGAATGATCTTGAGATGGGGTTGGCGGTTATCCTGGATTATCTGATGAGCCTCGTGTAGCCACAGAGGTCCCTACAAGAGGGAGGCAGAAAGAGTTAATGTGAAATGACCCGGAGTGAGAGAGGTTAGGAAAGGCTGTGCTGTCACTGGCGCCCGGGACCCGCCTAGCCTGAGCCCTGCGGTTTCCAGGAGCTCACGGTAGGCTCTGCGCCCCTTCACCTCCGGGCCTGGGCCTGGGCCAGGGCCAGTCTGGGGCGGGGCTGCAGCCTCAGGGCGCTGGGTCCCTGCCCCTTCCGTGCACCGCGCGGCTCCTCGCACCGCAGCGGGCACCAGCGCCACCACGGACCGCCCCAGCGCCCGCCCGACGGCGTCCCGCCGCGCTTTAAGAGCCAGCCCCGCAGCCCAGCCCGAAGAGCCCAGACCAGCGAGACCAGCCCGCGGGAGCAGCCCCATGGCGGGTAAGCGCCCTCGCCTCCCCAGTCCGGCGCGACCCCGGCCCCTCTGTGGCCCTTTCAGCACTTGCCTCCGCCCCGCCGTCCCCGCTGGGGTGCAGTGCCTGTCCTGCCCGGACTCGGCGCGCTCCTAAAGGGGCGGTGGGATGGAGTGGAGGCTGAGGTCTGCTCCTCGCGGTCAGTTGCGGCTTAGGAGGTGTGGGGGTCCCGCCTTCTCACCACCCCACCCAGTCCAGATCCCTGAGCCCGGGATGCCCGGCGCCCGCATGTCACCCTAAGGGAGGCACCTTTTTGGCCCAGCCAAGGTGGCCGGCGGTTGGGACCCAGCGTCTGAGCACCAATGGGCGGAGCCTCTTAAGTCCCCCAAATGTGGACTTGTGAGGGCCAGCAGCAAAGGGGCCTTGCCCCCTCCACCTCCCCACCCCCTCCACCTCCTCCCACCCACTCTCTTGAGCGCTCACCGCGCGCTCACCTTGATAGAGGGCTAGGGGAGGGAGCGGGTGTTAGAGAAGGTTAGGGAGCCTGAGCGGGAGTCCAGCCTCACAGCAGGTTCCAGGGCCCCAGAAGGTAGCGTTCTGATTGCAGACCTGGAGGAAGGTTCCTTCCAGGGTTTTCCCTAACTGACCGCGCCCACACCCAAGCGCCCCTCCTGTCCTCAACAGAAGCCCAGGGGATGGAGGCTCTGGTGAGGGCAGGTTTGATTTCTACTCAGAAACACAAGGAAATGGTTTCTTTAAGCCAGAATCCCAAGGGCAGGGCCAGCTGTTTTCCATGGAAAGCCAGAAGGTTCTGCCCAGGGCCCTCAGACCCTAGAAGGGGAGTGGTTGGGGTAAACTGCTTTTCCTCTGAGAGCTGGCAGAACCCAGCCAGCAGCATTCCTCCCGGAAGCCCTCCCAGCAGGGGCCACTCCTGAGGTCAATCCCAGAGGGCAGGGTTGCTGCCTCAGTTCTGCCCCAGCAGGCCAGGGCTGTGAGGGTGAGTGGCTTCCCCAGGCAGCCATCGCAGTACTGGTGGTCTCTGCCCCCAGAGCAGCTGGCCCTGGTGATTGGGGGCACCATCGGGGGGCTGCTGCTGCTGCTGATCGGGGCAAGCTGCTGTCTGTGGAGACGCTTCTGTGCCACCCTCCCCTATGAGGAGCTGCCTGGAACACCAGCCACGGCCGCTGCAGCTGCCTCCAGTGGACAGCGGGACAGGCCCTGCCAGCCACAGGCTAGGACCCCACTGAGCAGGTGAGGCAGGATGTGGGGCCAAATGGGTCCCTGGAGTTTCCCTCAGGGTGGGGTCAAAAAGGAAAGTTCTGTTTATGGGGAACCTCCTCTGTGCTGCCTCGGTGCTGGGAGCTATCACAAAGAAATCCCAGAAACCTCACATCAGCTGTTAGGCAGGCATTATGAAACCCATGTTCCAGGTGAGGAAACTGAGGCTCAGCGCATGTAAGCAACTGGTCCAGAGGGCACAATTAGTAAGTGACAGAACAGGAATCCAAACCCAGACTGGCTGACACCCTCGTCGGAGGCTGTGTTTCTTCTGCAAATTCCGTGTGTGTGTGTGTGTGCGTGTGTGTGTGTGTGTGTGTGTGTGTGTGTGTGTGTGTGTGTTGCCTGATATGGCCACAGAAAATGGTGTCCCAGCCTCCTCCTGGCTCCCGATGGCTTTTCTTCCTCCAGTCCCTGGCACTCAAGCATCCTGACTGAGCGCTCTGAGGCCGCATTATTCACTTGCCACCTACATGTTGTCTCCCTGCCTCTGGACAGGCCACCAGGTGTGCCATTCGTGGTGCCCCCTTCCCTTCAAGGCCGAGACTGGGTGCCCCTGCACAGCGGAGAGTGGGCCCACACCCCATGGGACCCCCGCCCAGCATCGGAGCTGCTGCCTCACAACCCCAGCGGTGGCCTTGGTGAGTGCCCCTGCCAGGGCCTGCCCAGAGGTCAGGGTCTGCTCAGGTAGCCCCATCTCCTTTCACCGGCCTGGCTCCAGAACACAACTGAACCAGCCCAGGGATGCCAGGGTTGCCCAGGGACCACTCTTTCTGGGTACTTTCATTTATGAAGTGCTTGCTGCACCCCATGCGGTGAGACATGGGCTTGGGTGCTGATTAGGAGTGAGACCTCACCATGACTCTGTGGGGGAAGAAAGATCACCTCATTTGACATAAACTGAGGCTGTAAACAACCGATTGGGATTGGAACCCAGACATCCCAGATACAGAACTTGTACTGGGTCCCACTCCAGGTTGATGGGTTGGCTGACCAAGTAGAAAGAATGGTAGGGATTGCAAACACAGCTTTCTGCCACCTCTGTGCCCTGAAGGTCTCCCAAGAGACCATCCCAGGACCCACCCAACAATCACCTTGGCCCGTCTAATTTGAAGAGGACGAAAAAGGCCATGCTTTATCATTGAATCATTTCCTAGACACCATGGAAGGGGGCCAGGCCAGATGATGGCTACTGTGTCCTTGAAACAGGTCTTGACCTCCAAGGATGGAGGCCAATCCCAGGGGGCAGGAGTATGAATAATCTGGACTATGCTAGGATTCCCAGCCTGGCCAAGCAATGCCTTCCTGCTGAGAAGGCTTCCTGGAGGAGCTGCACTAGAGAGGGGGAATGTGTTTAGTCTGGAGAGGAGAGTGGGGTGGATGTGGTCAGGCTAGCTGAGACTCAGCAGAGAGGGACAGACCAGGATGGGGATGGGTGCCCAGAGTTGGCCCCATGGGCTGTCTCCCATGCCCCTGCCTTCCTCTGGCCTGCCAGCCCTCCCATCCTCTGTTATAGGAGATGCATGTAAGGTGGGGGCCATCAATCCAGAGCTGTACAAGTTCTCAGAAGACAACAGTGAGACTGAATTCCCTGCCGGCTGCCTAGGGCGGCTGTGGTTCTCAGTGGAATACGAGCAGGAGGCCGAGCGGTTGCTGGTGGGCTTGATCAAGGCGCGGCAGCTGCAAGGCCCCTCGGAAACCTGCAGCCCCCTGGTGAAGCTCTACCTGCTGCCTGATGAGCGGCGCTTTCTCCAGTCTAAGACCAAACACAAAACCTCCAACCCGCAGTTTGATGAGCACTTCATCTTCCAGGTACAGCCTCTGGAGCTGGCAGGCTCTGGTAATCCCCGTGTTCCTGGGAAGGTGCAGACCTTCAGGAGAGCCCAGCCTCCTGTACCAGCCAGGGCCCTGCAGCCCCCCCAGGGACCAGCAGACCCTGGATCCCACAGCTCTGCTTTACCTAGTCTGCCAGGTTAAGGCCTATAGGAACCGATCCCTGATAGAGGCGCAGGGGAGAGACTTGGTGAGTAGTGACCAGAAGCCTGGGCTCCCCTGTCCTGACTGCCTGGAGGAGAGTAGGCAAAAGCACAATTTTAGAGCAACTACTGAATGCCAGGCCCTAGCCTATGGGGCTTAAGGGAATTATCCCAAAGGCCTGGAGCAGTGTGGGGTTTCTAGCAAGTTTATCCAAGGAAGGCAGAAGATGGGCCCTAGAGGGAGTGCAGGAGATGCCCATGCTATCAGAGGCCATCGTGGGGCCCCAGTGCTCTCCTGGGGCAGGCGTGGTGCCTTGCTGCACTTTGGGCTGGCCAGCTTGGGCTCCGGGCTCCAGAGGTGGAGAGGCTGTTGTGGCACCCAGCCCGTTTCACAGGGGCCTGGGAGCCTGACCAGGTGACTGGGGGCCCTTAGAGGAAGCAGCCATCAAGACCTGCCAAGAGGCCTTGGACAAACATGTTCTCAAGAGCTGGGCGGCAAGCTGGCCGAGAGGCTAGGTGCAGACAGTCATCTTTCAGGAGGAATGTGACTGCCGAGACCAGGGCCATGACTTGTGCCTTCCACCCTGGCAGACAGCTGGGAAGAGGGGTGCGGTGGGGCCTAGTGCGGGGCCATCTTGCTGGGCCAAGGCAGAACGCCCAGAGAGCCCCCCCTTCCTCCCAGAGGTCCATGTGACCCACAGACATGGACCCCTTTGAGTTCCACTGCCATTTTAAGAATGGGGCAACTTCAGCCAGGGTCACATAGACTACAGGGAGGAAGAGGGAGGCTCTCTGGGCGTTCCATCTTGCTGGGCCAGAATTCACAGGTGAATCGCTCTTCTCAAGACATCAGAATCCAAGGCTACAGCCTTGTGACATGCGACACATCGTGCTTGCGAGCTCATTTTTCTTGATTCATCACTTCCCCACCCTATCTCGCCCCAACTTGATCCAGTCCCTCTGTGCCTTCAGAGGAAAGGGGAAGGGGGAGAAGGGGAAAGAGAAGAAAATCAATATTAATGGGGCCATCTGCTGTAGGTCAGACACTGTGATTGGGGTTTTATGGGCCTGTGCTACAGTGCAGAGTGGTGGCAGGGCCACACTCACCGTGCAGGTGTGTCACTCGGAGCTTCAGCTAGGTGGCAGATTCTTCCGATTGACGGGTCTGGGCTGGGGGCCCAAGATCCTGCATTTCTAACAGGGCTCCAGATGGTGGTGGGTGCTACAGGTCCTCGGACTGCACTCTGTGTAGCAAGGCCCTGGCACCCACTCCCACTTTTCAAGGGTACACGGCTCTGTTACTGAGAAGGGTCCCCTGAAAATGCCTGAGTTTGGGGGGTGTGGGTCCCCGGTTGAGACACCCCTTCCCAAAAACACCCAAGTCCAGAATAACAAGTCACACCTCCCATCCCCAAACACCTGTGCCTGACCCTGGCTGGGTCCTTGTCTCCCCCAGGTGTCCAGCAAGACCGTCACCCAGAGGGTGCTGAAGTTCTCCATCTACCATGTGGACAGGCGGAGGAAGCACCAGCTCCTGGGCCAGGTGCTGTTCCCCTTGAATAATAAGACCCTGTCAGGGGACTGCCGGCGCATCATCTGGAGAGACCTGGAGCCCGAGAGCCTGGAGGTAAGGTCGTGGTCACCATGCCTGTGCCACTGAGCGTCAGCCAGCAGCTGTGCACATGGCCTGGCAGCACCTGCTGGCGGGGTCAGCCCTCAGCATCCTGCACACCACCCTACAACAGCGACTCAGGGAGGAGGGCCCAGGCCCGGAGCAGCATGGGGGGTGATGGACCTGCTCCTGAGCAGGGAGGGCCTGCTTGAGGTCCTGTTGTCACATAAGCCATCAGACTCCCTGAGCAACCTGAAATATCCACATTTGGGTTCCCATCCTGGTCAGACAGCTGTGAGAGGTGGCACCACAAATGGTCCAGCTCAGGGAAACGTTTCCCCAGCCCCACCACCCCCGGGAAGGCCATGGGTGGCCCAGAACTGGGTGTGAATCCTTAGCTCTGGTCCACAGGATTGCACAAGCTCCTTAAACTGTCCAGACTTAAAATGACAGTGGAACTCAAAGGGGACGATGTGGGTGTGTCGGATGGACCTCTGGGAGAAGGGGAGGCTCTGTAGGGGTTCTGCAGCCCCTTCAGTGCCTGTCGGAGCAACAGGGTGGGGTGCTTCCATCTTGGTCTCCCCAGCCCCCCTCAGAGTTTGGCGACCTCCAGTTCTGCCTCAGCTACAACGACTACCTGAGCCGCCTGACAGTGGTGGTGCTGCGTGCCAAGGGCCTCCGGCTTCAGGAGGACAGGGGCGTTGTCAGTGAGTTCCTGCCTTTCCTCCTGGGGAAGATCCTGCCCACTGAGCTTACGGCCTGGGGCTGCAGTCCAGCCTCACCCCTGACCATCCAGTTTCTCCTTGCATACACCCCATCAGAAAGCACTCACTACCTCACAAGACGTGCCCTCCCTCGGTGGACAGTTCTGGTACAGGAAGCCTCTTCCAATGTTGAACCCAAGGCTGCATCTCCTTGGCCTTCCCTGCTAAGGGTTCTAACCCAACCGTAAGACCAGGCCCTGCCCTTCCTGTTTCCCTAGGCAGCATCTTGGCTCCTTGAACTGTCCTGCTGCCTCCACATCCACCTTTCCATCAGATGCATGGGTCCAGTTCCTCCAGGGTGAGGCGGGCACCTCCCTGCCCCCAGGGGAAGGAAGGGCTCCTGGCTCACTGGGCACTGATGCTTGGCCTCCCAGAACACGGGAGCTGCAGGAGAGAGGGCCTCAGCTTACCCCGCATGTCCCACCCCATTTGGGCTCACCTGGCACGTCCCACCCACCCCAGTGAGGCGGTGGTGGCCAGCCACCTGTCTGCGTTCATGTCTGGGTCACCATAAGCCAGGCGGGATCCAGACCTTGCATGTGACTCTGAGCCTCACCCACCAAATCTTAGCCCTTTGTACAAGATGTTTAAGGGACTCCAGGGGACCTGGAGACCCAGTGATTAGCCCGCCAACAGGGAGGGACAGGCATGTGGTGCCAGGCTCTCGTAAACCAGGGCCAGGCAGAGCTATGAGTGCTTTCCTGAGGCAAAGAGGAAGGAAAAGGAAGGGAGCGGAGCCCCGCCTGGGCCACGGGGCCGTGCACTCCTCAGCCCGCTTCCTCTGGCCACACCCATGGGCCACATCCATGGGCTGTGTGAGGCGTGGGGCCCTGGCGCCTAGCTTGGGCACGTGCCCTCCTAGCCCGACCTCCCACAGGCTCCCGCTCGCCTCTGCCAGCCCATGAATGCTCACTGTTCCCCAGGTGTGTTTGTCAAAGTGTCTCTGATGAACCACAACAAATTTGTCAAGTGCAAGAAGACCTCCGCTGTGCTGGGCTCCATCAATCCTGTGTACAATGAGACCTTCAGCTTCAAGGCCGACGCCACAGAGCTGGATACTGCCAGCCTCAGCCTGACCGTGGTGCAGAACATGGAAGGGGACAGTAAGGCCATGCCCCACCCTGGGCTACTGGGAGGAGGGCCACGAGGGGCTGCCAGTGTTCAGGCAGAGAGAGTGGCTCCTGTCCTGACCTTGGAAGGAGCCGTACGAGCTCCCTCCCTGGTTAAGGAAGCTAGTGCTCAGAGAGGCTGAAATACTTGCCCAAGGACACACAGCTTCCCAGTAGGAGGGCTGGGTTTCATGCCCAGCCTTTAGTCCAGTTGAGCTCTTTCTGTGGCATCCTAGAGACAAGTAAAGCAGCCGGGTGCCGTGGCTCATGCCTGTAATCCCAGTACTTTGGGAGGCTAAGGTGGGTGGATCACTTGAGCTCAGGAGTTCAAGACCAGCCTGGCCAACATGGTGAAACTCCCTGTCTCTATTAAAAATACAAAAATTAGCTGGGCGTGGTGCCACACACGCTTGTAATCCCAGCTGCTTGGGAGCCTGAGGCCGGAGGATCCCTTGAACCCGGGAGGCTCTGACAAAAAAAGAAGAAAGAGGTTAAGCAATGGCCTCTGCTGCCCTCTCCTGGAGCAAATCAACAGAGAGGGTGGGAGGGAGCAGGGCTGCCACAAGCCTGGGGACCTGGTGCGCTGAGCTTCCTCGGCCTTCTAGACAAGCCTTTGGGGTTCTGGGTGAGTTCTGTCAGCCAGCTCTCCCGCACGGCCCACAGCCCAGCACCCACTGCCACTGTGTGGAAGTGGAGCCATCAGGCCATGGCTGGCCACACGGCCTGGACTTAGACCCTTCTCCACGGTGGCCGGTGAACGCTACTACTGGATGTACTCTTGAAGGCCGAGGTCTTTCTAGAGGGCCTTTCCCCCCTCAGCTCTTTGGCATAAGGTAGATTTAATACGGCCCTACAGAAGGGTGTGGGGCAGAGCGGGTGCCCTGAAGGTGAGGGTCTCTTTCAGGGCTCTCCTTCCTCCCAAACTCACAGAGGGAGAAAGAAGCAGCCCTTCCAGAGCAAAAGCAGGGCCCCTTTGGGGGCCATCAGCTCCTGCTCAGAGAGGAGGGGCTTGCTACTTCCTCCTGGGGAGGAAGAGGAAAGAGGAAGGGATGGAGGGAGGGAGGGCAGAATGGAGGCAGGGGTGGTCACTGGGGATGTGGCTTCTGTGCTCAGGAGCACACTGGTGCTCTCCCTCCCCTGCAGAGAGTCAAGAGCTGGGCCGGGTGGTGGTGGGCCCCTACATGTACACCCGCGGCAGAGAGCTGGAGCACTGGAATGAGATGCTCAGCAAGAACAAGGAGCTGGTGAAGCGCTGGCACGCACTCTGCCGCACCACAGAGCCCTGACCCCTCGCCCAGCACCGCGGTTCACTTTGGGAGCCTACTGTCCTCGCCATTGCACGTGACAGCCACAGCCACAAGCATGGACGTTTCATCCAACCGCTCCCTGAGCTTCGAGGCCAGCCCGAGCCAGGGGTATGTGAGTGCTGATGTGCAGAAGAGAAGAGGGGACGAGGAAGCCCCAGCCCTGTCAGCAGGTCAGCAGCTACGGCCATACAGCCTTCCAACACACTCCAACCTCCTTACCTGCGTGCTGCCTGGGCTCGGAACCCCAGCTCCTGGTCCTCACAGCCCTGACTGGACCAGAATCTCAGGTGCTCAGAGGAAAGATCCTATTTAGTGATGACCCAGCTCTATCTGCTGAATGGACATGCAGGCTAAACTTGGGTGCCTCCATCTGGGAAAGCCGAAGATGTGTTGATGCAGTCGATGACCCACACTGCTTTTCAACCAGGGTTTCTCTGCCTTCCGCCTGGCAGAGAAAACACACTGCTGTGGGGAAAATCACAGGGAAAGCGCTGTGAGCAGCCCACGAAGGCACCAAATGCATGGCTCACTGTGCTGGGTGAGGTCCTCCACAGGGCTATATGAAATGCCCTCCCACATCGCATCAAGTCTGCCCACGGCCCACCCTCCCCACGGTCCAAAACCACACAGCCCTGGATCTCCAGCTGTTCTGCTGCTGTTTCTGTGGTCTCCCTGATTAACAGCGTTCAGCTCCTGGCGTCTCCCTTTGAGCAGGAAATGGTGAAAGCCTGTGGCTCTGGTGTAGCCCACAGGCTGAGATTGTTGTGTTGCAGTACTGATGTAAAATTTGTTAAGAAGAAAGCACCCACACATGCCACCATCAACTCCCCAGAAGTTGCACTCAAGCTAGTGAGTAGGCCTTGTGCTTGTCACAGTTACTGTAACAGGCAGTATGTATTTGCACCTGGCGCCGTGCAGCCTGCACGTCAATACGTTGTTTTGCATAACTAGAACAGAACATGGAACCAGTATTTTTTTGTTTTTGTTTTTGTTTTTGAGACAGCGTTTCACTCTTGTCGCCCAGGCTGGAGTGGAATGGTGCAATTTCAGCTCACTGCACCCTCCGTCCCCCGGGCTCAAATTATTCTACTGCCTCAGCCTCCCTGTAAGCAGCTGGAATTACAGGCACCCATCATCACACCCAGCTAATTTTTTGTATTTTTAACAGAGACAGGGTTTTGCCATGTTGGCCGGGCTGGTCTCGAACTCCTGGCATCAGGTGATCCACCTGCCTCGGCCTCCCAAAGTGCTGGGATTACAGGTGTGAGCCACCGCACCTGGCTCAACCAGTATCTTTTTCTCATGCATTAAACAACTTTAGCAAAAGAGGCAATGAATGTTATATTGAGTCTGTACCTCTTTAACTCCACCTCTGATTTCTGTCAATCTACAAATCAAGTGTCACCTGGTAGTGGTCCATATGGACAGAATATCTTGTGTTTGCTTTTTATAACTTATTACAGTTATACATTTTCAAAGTAGTCCACAAAACTGTAGTTTCTAATAGCTTCATGACACACAGGTAATAGGGTTCTCTGTATGTTTATAGAGCAGGCTACCACAGTGGAACTGTTTCTGTTTCACCTAACATCCTAATAGGTGCCAGCCACCCCTACATTCCAAGGTGAGATTTCTGACTAGCAGTGACTATTGCAGGGCCACTTAGAAAAGCTAGTAAGTATCCTTTTCTGCAGGACAGAGTAGGCTGGTGCATCTGACTCATCCCTGAAAAACTCTAAATGGCAAGAGACTAGCAGGCTCTCTGTTCTGATGGGGAGGAAGCAGAGGTTGTTGTTTGCGTGGTTCTCTACAGACATACTCAGGGCAAGAAGTATATGCATGCTTACCATGAACCAGAGAGACCTGGCCGGGGTTGTCTCAAATCCTGTCCACATGGCAACTCCAAAAGAAAGATGCCCCTTAAATTTCCACAAAAGACCTTATAATCAGTGAGTCAATTTCCACAAAATAAAGTGCTAGAATTTGATTGGATTTAATTGATTATGTAGAACAATTTGGGAGCCATTTGAAATCTTTAAAATAATCTATCTTCCTATTCATCAACATGGTATATCTCTTCTTTAAATCTCTTGTACATATCTTAGAATTATTTTTGTGGTTTTCAGTAAAGTGTTCTTGCACATCCTTCATTAGATTTATTCTTAGGTGTTTTATATTTGTTTATGGCTAATTTACACAGATTCTGTTGCTAAAAATCTATGTTGACCTTGTTATCCAGTGAGTGGCCTTGCAAATTTCATTTAAATTATAATAATTTACAGATTATTTTTGTATAATTGTGTTCTTTGCGAATGACTGTTTTATTTCTTCCTTTCTTAATCTTTACGCTTCATTTATCTCTTGCCTAATTGCAGTGACCAAGCAACTGCATAAAAAAAAAAAAAAAAAAAGAAAGAAAGAGAGAAAAGGGATCCCGATCGTAAAGGAAGAAATAAAACTATATTTGCGCATGGCATAATCTTATCTATGGAAGATTCTAAAGGATCCACACACAAATAAAAACTACTAGAGCTAATAAATTCAGCAAGGTTGCAAGATACAAGATTGGTATCCAAATTACAGTGGCTAGGACCTCCAGCATAATGCTGACTATAAGTAGTGATAGTGGGTATTCTTGTCTCAGTCTCAGCGGTGGTGGGTGGGGCATGGGGACAGCTGTCAATATTCAGCATGAAGTATGATAGTTGCAATAGGATTTTTAATGTGCTCATGAACATATATTCTCAAGCTGTTAAAAAGGTTTTTTTAAAAAAAAATCACAAATGAGGTTAAATTTCTCTCAAATACTTATTCTACACCTTTTGAAATAATTATATTTTTCTCCTTTATTCTTTGGACATGATGACTTATACTAATTGACTGTTGAATGTCGTTGTGTGTTTATGCAGGTTTATACATATGAATGCAACAATACTTGGACTTACTTATTTAAAATTTAGATTTATCAGAGAGAACATGGCCATAAAATAAAATAAAATAAAATTTAGATTTAATCTGGGCACAATGGCTCACACCTGTTATCCCAGCACTTTGGAAGGCCAAGGCAGGTAGATTGCGTGAGCTCAGGAAACTTGGTCTCTACAAAAAACACAACATTAGCCAGGTGTGGTGTCATACTCCTGCTGTCCCAGCTAGTTGGGAGGCTGAGGCAGGAGCATTGCTTGAGCCCAGGAGGTTAAGGCGGAAGTGAGTCTTGTTCACGCCACTGCACTCCAGCCTGGGTGATGAAGCAAGACCCTGTCTCCAAAAATAAAATAAAATAAATGAATAAATAAAATGTAGATTAATTTGCTATTATATTTTCCAGGGTTTTTGCAGTTATGTTCATGACAGGCTTTCCTATAATATTCTTATCATTCTGTTCTTGCACTTGAAAGAATGCACATTCTGCAGTTGTGTGCAGGTGTTATGTGTATTTCAATTGGGTCAAGTTTGTTAATCAGGTTGGCCAAATTATCTACATCTTTACTGATATTTTTGTTTGTTTTTCTGTAAATTACTGAGAGAGGCTAAAACCTGCCACTATTATTATGCATTTGTTTATTTCTCCTTTGAGTTGTGTCAGTTTTTCTTTTATGCATTTAGAGGCTATTAGGCTTCTACCCATTTAAAATTGACATTTTCTGGTAGAATGAACCCTTTGTTATGTGAAATGGCTTTCTCTACCATTCACAATGGTATTTTTTCACTTTTTTCCTTAATTTGAATTTTTTAATGTTCTTACAATGATGTCATGTCTCTTGAATAGAGTTGTTTTAATCAAGTCTGTCAATTTTTATCTTTTGTGTATTTAGTGCATTTACATTTAATGTAATTACTGATGTAGTTGTGTTCATAAATACCATCTTACTATTTATTTCCTTTTGTCTTACCCATTTTACGATTCTTTTTCTCTCATCTGTTGCTTTCTTTCAGATTATTTTTTAAATTCCATTTCCCCCCTACCATTGGTTACTACTTAAACATTCTTTTATAATTTCTTTAGTGGTTTCCTCCACAGATTACAACTTGTATACATTATTATAGTCTAATAAAAATGTTACCTTTTATTGTTTCCCAGACAATGCTATGATCTTACAATACTGAATCTCTCTTTACCTCCATTCTACTCTTGCATGTATATTATTGATATTACTCATTTTAATTCCACATATATTTTACACCTAACAAGACACTGTTATTATTGCTCTGTGCAGTCAATATTCATTTGTATTCACTCACATATTCACTCTGTTGTTTTTTATTATTTCCTGCACTTTTATGATTCATCATAGATCAGTTTTCTTCTACCTGAAGAATTCCCGTTTTTTTTTTTTTTTTTTTTTTTTTTGAGACGGAGTTTCGCTCTTGTTACCCAGGCTGCAGTGCAATGGCGCGATCTCGGCTCCCTGCAACCTCCGCTTCCTGGGTTCAAGCAATTCTCCTGCCTCAGCCTCCCCAGCAGCTGGGATTACAGGCACGCGCCACCATGCCCAGCTAAGAAGAATTCCCTTTAATAGCTTTTGTGTATGCACATCTGCTGGCAGCAAATTTACTCAGGTTTTTTTGTGTGCTTGTTTGTTTGTTTGTTTTTGAGACAGGGTTTCACTCTGTCACCCAGGCTGGAGTGCAGTGGCATAATCACTGCTCGCTGCAGCCTCAACCTCCTGGGCTTAAGCAATCCTCCCACCTCAGCCTCCCAAGTAGCTGGGACTGCAGGCATGCACCACCCCACCTGGCTAATTTTTTTGTATTTTTTGTAGAGAGAGGGTATCAACATGTTGTCCAGGCTGGTCTTGAACTCCTAAGCTCACGCAATCTGCCTGCTTTGACCTCCCAAAGGACTGGGATTACAGGCCACCTCACTCAGCCTTTTGCATCAGTTTTTGAATAGAAACAAAGAAACATCTATTTCAATTTTTTTTTTTTTTTTTTTGAGATGGAGTTTTGCTGTTGTTGCCCAGGCTGGAGTGCAATGTTGCTATCTCAGCTCACTGCAACCTCCACCCCCTGGGTTCAAGTGATTCTACTGCCTCAGCCTCTCAAGTAGGTGGGATTACAGGCATGTGCCTGTATTTTGTATTTTTAGTAGAGACAGTGTTTCTCCATGTTGGTCAGGCTGGTCTTGAACTCCCAACCTCATGTGATCCGCCAGCCTCAGCCTCCCTAAGTGCTGGGATTACAAGTATGAGCCGCCATGCACTCGTGGCCTCAAATTCATTGTTAAAGGATATTTTTGCAAATATAGGATTACAGTTTGACACTTGTTTCTTTCAGCAACTTCAGAATGGCATTCCATTATCTTCTCACTTCCATGATTTCTGTTGACAAGTGATTTTCAGTGTTATTGTTTCTCCTTTGAAAGTAATGTGTCAGTAATGTGTACTGGTTCTCACCTATCATCCTGGCATCCTTGAGCCCATGAGTTCAAAACAAGCCCAGGCAATAGAGCAAGACTCCCTCTCTACAAAAGAAAAAGAAAGGAGGGAGCGAGGGAGGGAAAGAGAAAAGAAGAAAGATGTCTCTCCTATCCACCTCTGGCTGCTTTTAATGTTTTCTCCTTGTCTTTTGTTTTCAGCAGTTTAAGTATAATGTGCCTGGGCCGGGCGCGGTGGCTCACACCTATAATCCCAGCACTTTGGGAGACCAAAGCAGGTGGATCATCTGAGGTCAGGAGTTCAAGACCAACCTGGCCAACATGGTGAAACCCTGTCTCTACTAAAAAAAATTCAAAAATTAACCAGGTGCAGTGACACATACCTGTAATCCCAGCTACTCAGGAGACTGAGGCAGGAGAATCACTTGAACCCAGGGGGTGGAGGTTGCAGTGAGCTGAGATCGAGCGACACTGTACTCCAGCCTGGGTGACAGAGTGAGACTGCATCTCAAAAAATAAATAAATAAATAAAGTATGATGTGCCTGGAAGCAGTTTTCTTTTTATTTATCCTGCTTGGGGATCATAAAGCTTTATCAGTTTTGGAAAATTCTCAGCCTGTATTTATTTAACTGTTATTTCTGCCCCATCTTCCTCTCTTCTTCTTCCAAGACTCCAGTTACATATGTGTTAGGTCTGTTCACCACTCCCCACAAGTATCATGTTTTTTGCTTTCCATACTCTTTGTTCTTCAGCTTAGAGTTTTTGTTCTGTCCTATATTACAGTTCAAAGAATGTTTCTTCTGCTAAGTCTAATTGTAGTTAACCCATAGGCTAAGTAGTTAATTTCTTTTTTATTGCTTGTTTTTTTCCCCTTTTTTTGTTTTTTTAATGGAGTCTCTCTCTGTCGCCCAGGCTGGAGTGCAGTGGCCCGATCTCGGCTCACTACAACCTCTGCCTCCCGGGTTCAAGCGATTCTTCTGCCTCAGCCTCCTGAGTAGCTGGGACTACAGGCGCTCACCACCACGCCCAGCTAATTTTTGTATTTTTAGTAGAGACGGGGTTTCACCTTGTTGGCCAGGCAGGTCTTGAACTCCAGACCTTGTGATCCACCCACCTCAGCCTCCCAAAGTGCTGAGATTACAGGCTTAAGCCATCATGCCCAGCTGTTAATTTCAATTACTGTTTTTTTAAGTTTTAAATTTCCATTTAATTCTTTCTTATAGAGTCCAGTTCTTTGATGAAAGTCTCTATTTCATCCATCAAGTCTGTGTCTGATAACACCAATACCTGGGTCATTAGTGGCTCCATTTTGCTGTGTATGCTTTCCCCTCATTCCTGTTTCGTGGTGAGCTTGAGCATTTATTGTTGAATGCTAAACATTATAATAAATTATAGTGGCTCCAGGAGACATTATCTGAAAACAATGTCTTTCTGCAGGGAGGGCTTACCATGTTATCTGATAGACAGAATGGGAAGATTTTACGTTAATCCAAGGGTACTGACTGGAGTCTATGTTGTGGTTTTTGTGAGGCTCCATCTCCACCTCTGGTTTGTCTGCCTGTTTAGAGTGTGGTCCTCTCAGGGCTCCAATTGAGAGTCCGATGTGATTATTAGGCTTCTTTTCCTTGATGGGTCCTGAACTCCAATTTTTATCTCATTAATATGACACTGCCCAACCTGCGGCCTTTCATAGGCTTTCTGCGTAGCTTAACTCAGCAGATGCCTCAAGGGGCAAGTGTTCCTTTTCTGTGTCTTCCTTCTATACGATATTTTGGAC